CCAGATGGACCTGACAAGATACAGTTTGACGGCACAAGTGAAAAGCTGGAGGTAGAAGAAGGGAAACCTGCAGCCGTGAGATGTTCTGCTGACTGTAACCCTGCCTGTACTGTAACCTGGTGGTACACATCCAGACAGACGGCGATTACAGGACAGAGGGAGGCTGTGTTGTCTGTACCAGCTGTAGATGTATCTTTGTCTGGACTGTACACGTGTCACGTCAACAACACACATGGGAGTGCATCACGGAACCTGACGCTGGAGGTCGTCTGTAAGTCAACACTTCAGTAACAGAATCTGTTATATACAACCTATTTTGAGGGATGACGCCTGTTGGGACAGCCCCCTTTTCGTACACCTGATCCTGCTGGAACACCTTCTGGAACACCTGCTAGAACACCTAGAAATTTAAAATAATCAAAGACCCTTTAGATGGCACTCAAAGATTAAAAATAATTATCTATTTGATACCGTAATATTGATGAAGAATTTCATTTTCACTATGATCTGATCGCATTATCGTTCCAATGATTCTTAACTTTCAGATTCTCCAAAAATCCCAAATGTTTCCGTTTATTCGAAAAAATCAATTAGAAACCGAGCCCTACAGAATACAGTGCTCCTGAAACACTATTTTTACGAGGAATATAATTTGACTCTTTTCGTTACATATTTCCGTTTCTTCACCCTGCACAAATCAGAACACTGATGTTACCGACATTGCATGTCTTCCTGTGGAGCTGATGTTGACAATGACGTTGTTGTTGGCGATGTACAGCGTACCTCATCAATCACTTACAAAGCGTGGCACGGCAAGGTTATTTCAGATGAACAACGCAAGTGTCAACCCATTTAATATGTTTTGAATCGGGTTAAAACTTCCCAAAGAGGCTTGATGTTACATGATTATACTCGTATGCTTACTGAACTGAATATTGTTCATATTGAATGTTTCAGCACGTGAAGTTACTGAATCTGGTGTCGTTTCCATCGTCCCCGTGGCTGCTGTCTGTTCCGTCCTGATCGTGGTCATCGCCGTTGTCGTCATCGTTGTTGTTTGTAGAAAACAGAGACATGGAGGTAATATGGTGTGATGTGAGAGTGAATGACGATAACCCGAGAGTCACGTAAAGCTGTCTATCTCAGAAGCACTCCTTTCGCACTTTCGTGCAGCAATTACAAATACTGATCTCACTTAATAGCGTGTTGCGGTTCATATATTAACTGCATGATCATGTTTACATCACGTAATCGATTAGTGTGTTCAGTGTATCGTCACCCGGAAATAGTTGGCTCCATAGAATAGCAAGGCCAATGCTTTCAAATGAACAGTCACACGATGATAGTGCATAAGAAAGATAGACACGTTCTTTTATGTGAGTGAGTATGGTTTTACGCCGCTTTTAGCAATATTTCCGCAATATCACAGCGGGGGACACCAGAAATTGGCTTCACACATTGTACCCAAGTGCGGCATCGAACCCGGGTCTTCGGCGTGACGAGCGGACTCTTTAACCACTAGTCTACCCCACCGTCCCTTCCTATATATATATATATATATATATATACACATGTGCTGAATTATAGATGACAGTGTGGGACAACACTTTGGGTGAGGTAGGCGGGGAGGGCGGGGTTGGATGGTTACTTCAGAATACGTTGTACCCCCACAACTGATATTTACCAATACTGACTAGCAAAAAAAACGCAATTCAAGAAATCAAAACTCACACTGAATCTCGATTCGTCTGAAAAGATGACATCATCCCACCTTCGTTGTCCAGAACAGAACAGAACAGAACTTTTATTACGCTCAGGCTGGGGTACTCGACATAACAGGTACAAATAAATATACAGTTGAGAATACATAGGATGGCGGGATGGTTTACAAGGAAGATTGTACAGTTTTCATGACAGTACTACAAAATATACACAGTTGTTTTAAAACACTAATTCGTTTACAGTTTAACAATTCTTTAAATCTTAAAACATTGGGTTTTCAACATAATGGTTTGGGATATAAGTTTTCCTATGATGTTTGAAGAAAGGACAGAGAAAAATGCAGTGAAATTCATCGCCAACGTCACACGTGTAGCAGAGGTTACACATTCCTTCTTCGAGTGGAATTTACTTCTATATGTAAACGATGGCAGGAAGTTCTAAACAAGAGAAATTTAAGAGCCAAGGAGAAAGTGGTATATGTGAGATATTTTCAAAGACAAGTTCAGATTTGAATAAGCGATACATGGTACCCTTAGAAGAATTCGAAATCTCTGAGCGCCATGTTTGGGTTGCTATATCATCTAAGCCTAAGGTGATAATAGTTTTAATTTCATTGAGAAAGACAGCTGGTTGACTTACCCAGCAGATGCTATAGCCTGTTTCATTAAAAACGGCTTCCACTGATTTGATCTATTTTTGGTTGCTATTGTTTATGCAGGCTTCATTATATAACATTTGGTATACCATTGTTGACAGCTTTTGTTCTTTACCAGATAGGAGTCTAGCCCAGATATATACCATGCGACATTTGTTTTAGGGGTACCGTTCCAAGTTCTCCATATAGCATTATAATGGCGTGCTTCTCTTAACGGGAATGAATTTGCGTAAAAAAATTACATGAACGGATTCTACAGATTTACAGTTTGCAAAACCCCATATTTCGCAGCCGTATATATACACCTATACAAACGTTAAGCAATACTAATATGTTTTTAGATGTGATGTCTTGACTATAACTGTAAAAGATAAATAATACTTCGGTATGTGGCATTTGATGTCCATTTCCACCCTGTTACTCAGCAACACGTTATCTGGCAAGCATTTCACTTTATATTGACATGTTATACATTTTCAAATGATCATTTTGTCCTATTTATACTAATAGATCTTCCCTATGTCATATTTTTCACGTCCATGTGGTGGATTTTGTTTAAATGTAAAGCTGTCCTTGATGGTGTCTATTAGTATTCATTCAGGAAGTAAATGTGCAGGCCTACCATACAAACGGTCAACAAATCATCAAAACTGAACTCATATACACCAAAACAGAACAAAAATCACCAAAAACTGTTAACAATATCCTCTTAAACCGAAACAATAAATCTGTAATGGAAGAAAAATCGTTTGAAATGGAAACAAAACTCGCGTATCATCTACAACAGCCGAGCCGGCAGTTTTGATGATTTGTTGACCGTTTGTATGGTAGGCCTGATGTGGGGAAATTGAATCTGACACCAGCCTTGAAGGAAGAGTTTATAGTGAGTGAATATGAGCAATATCACGACGGGGAACACACGAAATGGGCTTCAGACATTGTACCCATGTGGGGAATCGAACCCGGGCGTTCGGTGTAAAGAGTTTATTATTGAGACAGTATTATTGAGATCATATGCAAAACCTTTCACACCCATAAATAGAGTGAAAATTGAATATCTATGTCATAAGCTTACATGAGAAGTTAGATGTAAATTACTTAAAACTGTGGTGGTATCTACTTGACATGTCCTTTTCTGTGTGTGTTTCAGTCCAACATAGACTCATTTCACTTCTCTTATATAACCGTCAAGATGCATTTGAACAGCCTGAGAAATATGAATCATTTCTCTTTAATAACCGTCAAGACGCTTGAACGGCATTTGAGATATGAATCAATAGTGTGAACACATTGACATATTTGATGGCCTTTAGCTTTCAGTGAGTGAGTGAGGATGTTTACGCCGCTTTTAGCAATATCCCAGTAATATCCCAGCATGAGACACTTTAACCACTAGTCTTACCATCCCAACAAGGACTTCAGGACACCAGTGTTACTTAGCTGACAGTCACATATCGTTTTACAAATTTCCAGTTATTTATGTCTACTTCAAAGGTATGCAAGTATACGAGCAATTCGTTTATCATATATTTTTCATCTAACATTTTGCATCTACACAATTATATCTTTCAGGAAGGGGAGACATTCATAGTCGGTGAGTATCTGCTATCCAGTGGATAAGACAAATGCGTAATTTTAAACTTAGTAGTATCTGCTTTCTTTCAAGGTCATTGGGTAAACAGTTGGCAGTATCTGCTATCCTTCAACGGCTTTTTGGTAAACAGTTGGCAGTATCTGCTATACTTCAAGGCTATTGGGTAAACAGTTGGCAATATGTCCTATCATTCATCCTATACCTTCATATGCTGAAATCTTTTTTTTCCATTTTATTTTGTAAACGCTGTTTTGATTCAGTAATTTGGGCAGTCGGGAGCCAAGTGGTTAAGGCGTTCACGCCAAACACCTAGGTTGGATTCCCCACATGGGTACAATGTGTGAAGCCCTATTTATGGTGTTCTGGTTTTGGTAATGTTGATGGACTGTGCTAACAGCGACTGTTATTCAATAAATGGAAACGTTGACCAGTCTTTCTGTTTAGCAAATTTACAAGTTTGTCTTTTGCTTCATTTGCAGAAAACCAGGACAGAAGGTACATAAGTTTATTGTTTGACCTTAAGTATTGGAGTTAGGTATGGTAATAACCAGTTAACAAACCCTCATATATGTGTCCAGTTGCAATCTCCTGTGTTAAACACCATTTACTCAACTTACCCCAGAGAACTACACCCTAACTGAATAAATGGAGCCCGTAAAGATTATCTGTGGAAATGACGGAGAAACTAGCAATTGGATCGCAAATCTATGATCACTGTTGAGGTCTTGTTTAGGATTTCCAATCAATTAATGATTTCTGTTCCACGCTGCATGAAAGCAAAATACATACACTTCTGTGCAAGACAACTTTATCTGCAATGTAAGTGTGATGTTGTAATTACAGATGTGGTGAATATCTTACTGTGATGGCAGACAGATTGTCCCGTGACTTCAGTGATGTACCTTGTGCATCATACAACGACGGGGATGTCTTAGCCCTACATGATTACGAGCGACTCCTGAGGGAACAGTTCCACATCTACACGTCTCTCAACCCTTCATCCTCCTCCACAGAGGACCACAGCACCAGGTGAAGCCAAAACTGACGGTACAGTTCCTCATCTACACGTCTCTCAACTCTTCATCGTCCTCCATCGAAGACCACAGTACCAGGTGAAGCCTATACTGACGATACTGTTCATCATCTACACGTCTCTCAACCCTTCATCGTCCCCCACAGAAGTCTAATCTGACGTTACAGTTCCTCATCTACACGTCTCTCAACCCTTCATCGTCCCCCACAGAAGTCTAATCTGACGATACTGTTCCTCATCTACACGTCTCTCCACCCTTCATCGTCCCCCACAGAAGTCTAATCTGACGGTACAGTTCCTCATCTACACGTCTCTCCACCCTTCATTCTCCTCTACAGAGGACCACGACACCAGTAGGGCTGATGGTACAGTTCCTCATCTATACGTCTCTCCACCCTTCATCGTCCCCAGCAGACGACCACGGGACCACAGTACGGGCTGCAGCCTCAAGTGAGGCAACAGTTTATGCAGACGATAGTGTCTTTGTACCTTTCTACAGACGATATTGTGTTTATAGTTTTATGCAGACGATGTTTTCTTTTTCGCTGTAGGCTGACAATATTTGCTTTATAGCTTTATGCTGACGATATTTTCTTTGTCGTTTAATGCAAACGATATTTTCTTTGTCGTTTTATGCAGACAATATTTTCTTAGTCGCTTTATGCAGACGATACTTTCTTTGTCGTTTTATGCAGACGATGTTTTCTTTGTCGTTTTATGCAGACTATATTTTCTCTGTCGTTTTATGCAGACGATAGTTTCTTTGTCTTTTAATGCAGACAATATTTTCTTTTTGTCACTTTATGCAGACGATATTTTCTTTGTCGCGTTATGCAGATGATATTTTCTTTGTCACTTTATGCAGACGATATTTTCTTTGTCGCGTTATGCAGACGATACTTTCTTTGTCGTTTTATGCAGACGATGTTTTCTTTGTCGTTTTATGCAGACTATATTTTCTCTGTCGTTTTATGCAGACGATAGTTTCTTTGTCGTTTTATGCAGACGATATTTTCTTTGTTGTTGTATGCAGACGATATTTTCTTTTTCACTTTATGCAGATGATATTTTCTTTGTCACTTTATGCAGATGACATCGTCTTTGTCACTTTATGCAGACGATATTTTCTTTGTCACTTTATGCAGATGATAGTTTGTTTGTCGTTTTATGCAGACGATATTTTATTTGTCGCTTTATGCAGACGATATTTTCTTTGTCGCGTTATGCGGACGATATTTTCTTTGTCACTTTATTCAAGTGATATTGTCTTTGTAGCTCCAGACGAACAATCCTTACATCCTTACAATGTATGCAAGACTGTGTACCTAGCTCGTGTGACAGTGGCTAATATTGATTACAGTTAAACAGACATTTGTAATAGCATGTTTTCATAAACATTCTAAGGTTTCTAAGGTTTTTATCTTAAAGCTAATAGATCTTATGTTAGTGTACAGTTAGTTATGTAGGTGAGTCTAGGTATAGATGAACGGATATTTTGGTATCGATGAAAAAGAGTCGCTTTACTTTGTATTATATGTTATCTGATGTGTTGCGACATCTTAATGAAGTTATTATTATGATTATTTTTCGTCTTCTTCTTGCATTGATCCTTCCTTAAACCTTACCAGGAACATATGATCGTGTGTTCAAACCCCCAAATGCTTGCATTTTCATTCAGTTGTTCGCCCCACAAGCGTTTGAGTGATTGAGTTAAAAGTTTACATCAAATCGACAATAGTGCAGCCATTTCGCGATGAGAATAATTTAGGTATAAATTCTTTTCATGTCCCACTATTGATAAGTCTAATATGGTCATGTCAATTGTCAATCCATATATTGCAAAGAAAACCTATCTATTTATATACACAGTTCAATGAATCTTAGAGATTCAGTCCTATGCCAATAATATCATATTTACTTTTCGCATATTTTGTAAATTAACTTATTGTCTTATTCATTAAATATGCACATGTATGTATCGCTCTGTAATCCTGAAATGTAGGCCTATGACCTCCACTACAAAAGAAATAAAGATTGAAGATATTATAATTGCATATTTGTCGACAAAATACAGTAAAACAGTGAGGTACGTATCACAGTTTAGTTATACCACAACGGCTTCCGCATGATTGTTCTGCCGAACATTGTTACTTATGCCACTATCGTGCACGTGCATTTTGACCAATGTCCAACAATTACTTTTTTCACGTTTTGAAGAATGCACGATTCGGGCGAAGTTTTCGGACAACTTCGTTTTTATTGGGAGCATGTTATATTTGGGCGAATCATTTCTGCTTGGGTGTTTATGCAATTGCATTACAAGTGGTAACTTTCTTTTGCCCGATAGTTTAGTCCTTGAACGGCATTTAGAAGACTGCATTACACGCTGAGCATGCGACCTGTGACAAATGTACTGGAATTGCTTATGTAGGATTTTCCTTCTTTTCCCAAAAGTGCTAGTAGTTTGGCAAGATGCTGGGCTGTGTTGTAGCAGACTGAGCCCCTGGAGCATACACGTGTTCTGACTTTGACTGGATGTTTATGTGTGCCCCAGTGTGTACTTCAGTGTGCTATAATCATTGGCTTCGCCTTACTATTCTGACCTTTGTCCAGTTTCGGGTAAATCTTGTATGGAAAGATTAAAGATAATAAAATGGATGTTACTAGCTCGATACAAAATACATCTGGGGTACTCGATTTGCTGACATTTTCCAAGTTACAGGCGAAACTGTATCTCAGCTGTTGAAAGTATTAATAACCAGACGAATATCCATTTTGATATGGCAACCTTTAGGAATTGTCACACGTCATGCTCTTGATATATTCCTTGTGATACTCATGTTAGTGAATATAAAACATTGAACTCATAATAGAAAGATGTCTGTAATAAAAAAGAGTATATAATGAAAATAGTCTAAGAGATAAAACTTCAGGATGTCAGTTAATTTAAATACTTGAGATCTGTTGAAGGAACTAAAGAATATCTTGAATTCTAAAACTAAACAATTATTTGATCTAACGACTGGCTTAAATATGTTGAAAATCCGGTAATCAGTCTACTAATCTGAGAGAGAAAATAACTTGCGAAAGAATGATTTACAGTTGCAACGTCATGGTTTTTGAGAAGTTCTTTGATCTTATCTTGTTTACATCATGATTATTGCCTCGAAAATGCACAATATGACTGAAACGTTTTTTGTGTGGAGGGTTACACATAGTATGTGTAGTGAGTAGTAAGTCCAGTGACGTCACTCATTCATAACGTTGGGTTATTTATCAATGCGCCGATACAATGAGAAAGAACGAAATATGCATCGATTTGATCCGATAGTTGTGAGTTTTAGGGGTGTTGTAAGAAACAGATTACTGTACTTGTTGTAAGATAAATGGAGTCTGACAAACACTCGTTTTGTTTCTTTTGAGGCCCGGGTTAGAATTGAACTTCAGCAACCCATGTTTGTCGTAAGAGGCGACTAACGGGATCGGTTGACACATGTCATCGTATCTAAATTGCGAAGATCGATGCTGATGATGTTGATCACTGGATTGTCTGGTCATTTACACACTGGAATAGCTGGAATATTGCAAAGGGCGACGTTAAAGAAAGAAAATTTGTTGTTATCTCAATAGTTACGTTTACGGCTTGATGTGCAGTGCAAAAGAGTAAATACGGGTACATATGAGAGTGATTGAGTGAGTGAGTGAATATCGTTTTGACGTCGTTTTCGTCATATTTCAGCAATATTATGGCGGGGGATACCAGAAATGGTCTTCACACATTGTACCCATGGAGGGAATCGAACCCGGGTCTTCGGCGTAAAGAGTGGACGCTTTAACCACTTGGCTACCACAGAGCAGACAGACCCAGCACGCATGACAACATAGTGTTCAATGTTCGACTGCCCAATGATAACGTCACTAGTGTTTCAACAAGCAGGGACATGATTCACAGAGTAGACAGACCCAGCAGTGCCAAGTAAACTCATGACAACATAGTATTCAATATTCAACTGTCCAATAGTAAGGACACGGCGTATTCACTACTGTTTCAACAAGCAAGGACATGGTTCATGTGACAGGGATATAGTGTCAAGTGAAACTACACGAACAGCAACAGCTCAGATCCGTCAGTGTTAACCAGCTGCTGACTATGTTCCTGTTTTACATTGGAACCGGATTCCTTCAAGTGTGTGGTATGTATCTGTCTTCGAAATTGACATTTTATATAGCCATCCTTGTGACTGTTTTCTCAAGTAATACGGGATATTCTGTCAGTAAGCATACGTAATGATAACTGGTACTTTTTTGTGTGCAGGTCAGTATGAACTTATCACGCCAGGTTTTAATAAGTTTGTTTTTTAAAGAAAATTATACAGTTATATAACGCCTAGTATCAATCTGTCTAGCTGCTCGCTGGACGCTGAATCACAATCTGATTATTATTACCCTGGATAACCCAAGCTGCCTGTAAGGCGCTAGAAGGTTAATAGTCACATGACTTATCTCACCGGGTAACCAGTTTCTGCTGTACCCAGCTTCGGCAGTTTTGAACAAACACACTTACCTAAGGTGAGACCACATGTAAGTATATGATATGTTAGTATGTTCAGCGTAGTGCAGATCATATGTTAGTATATGACATGTTAGTATGTTCAGCGTAGTGTAGATCACATGCTAGTATATGATATGTTAGTATGTTCAGCGTAGTGAAGACCACATGTTAGTAAATGATATGTTAGTATGTTAAGCGTAGTGTAGATCACATGTTGGTATATGATATGTTAGTATGTTCAGCGTAGTGTAGATCACATGTTAGTATATGATATGTTAATATGTTCAGCGAAGTTTGGACCACATGTTAGTATATGATATCAGAGTATGTTCAGCGTAGCGTAGAAAATATGTTGGTATATGATATGTTAGTATGTTCAGCGTAGTGTAGATCATATGTTAGTATATGATATGTTGGTATGTTCAGCGTAGTGTAGACCACATGTTAGTATATCATATGTTAGTATGTTTAGCGTAGTGTAGACCACATGTTAGTATATGATATGTTAGTATGTTCAGCTTAATGTAGATCACATGTTAGTATATTATACGTTGGTATGTTCAGCGTAATGTAGATCAGATGTTAGTATATAATTTGTTAGTATGTTCAGCGTAGCGTAGACCACATGTTAGTATATGATATGTTAGTATGTTCAGCGTAGTGTAGACCACATGTTAGTATATGATATGTTAGTATGTTCAGCGTAGTGTAGACCACATGTTAGTAGATGATATGTTAGTATGTTCAGCGTAGTGTAGACCACATGTTAGTATATGATATGTTAGTATGTTCAGCGTAGTGTAGATCACATGTTAGTATATGATATGTTAGTATGTTCAGCGTAGTGTAGACCACATGTTAGTATATGATATGTTAGTATGTTCAGCGTAGTGTAGATCACATGTTAGTATATGATATGTTAGTATGTTCAGCGTAGTGTAGATCACATGTTAGTATATGATATGTTAGTATGTTCAGCGTAGTGTAGACCACATGTTAGTATATGATATGTTAGTATGTTCAGCGTAGTGTAGACCACATGTTAGTATATGATATGTTAGTATGTTCAGCGTAGTGTAAAACTCACATGTTAGTATATGATATGTTAGTATGTTCAGCGTAGTGTAGATCACATGTTAGTATATGATATGTTAGTATGTTCAGCGTAGTGTAGATCACATGTTAGTATATGATATGTTAGTATGTTCAGCGTAGTGTAGATCACATGTTAGTATATGATATGTTAGTATGTTCAGCGTAGTGTAGACCACATGTTAGTATATGATATGTTAGTATGTTCAGCGTAGTGTAGATCACATGTTAGTATATGATATGTTAGTATGTTCAGCGTAGTGTAGATCACATGTTAGTATATGATATGTTAGTATGTTCAGCGTAGTGTAGACCACATGTTAGTATATGATATGTTAGTATGTTCAGCGTAGTGTAGACCACATGTTAGTATATGATATGTTAGTATGTTCAGCGTAGTGTAGATCACATGTTAGTATATGATATGTTAGTATGTTCAGCGTAGTGTAGATCACATGTTAGTATATGATATGTTAGTATGTTCAGCGTAGTGTAGATCACATGTTAGTATATGATATGTTAGTATGTTCAGCGTAGTGTAGATCACATGTTAGTATATGATATGTTAGTATGTTCAGCGTAGTGTAGATCACATGTTAGTATATGATATGTTAGTATGTTCAGCGTAGTGTAGACCACATGTTAGTATATGATATGTTAGTATGTTCAGCGTAGTGTAGATCACATGTTAGTATATGATATGTTAGTATGTTCAGCGTAGTGTAGACCATATGTTAGTATATGATATGTTAGTATGTTCAGCGTAGTGTAGACCACATGTTAGTATATGATATGTTAGTATGTTCAGCGTAGTGTAGACCACATGTTAGTATATGATATGTTAGTATGTTCAGCGTAGTGTAGATCACATGTTAGTATATGATATGTTAGTATGTTCAGCGTAGTGTAGATCACATGTTAGTATATGATATGTTAGTATGTTCAGCGTAGTGTAGACCACATGTTAGTATATGATATGTTAGTATGTTCAGCGTAGTGTAGACCACATGTTAGTATATGATATGTTAGTATGTTCAGCGTAGTGTAGATCACATGTTAGTATATGATATGTTAGTATGTTCAGCGTAGTGTAGATCACATGTTAGTATATGATATGTTAGTATGTTCAGCGTAGTGTAGATCACATGTTAGTATATGATATGTTAGTATGTTCAGCGTAGTGTAGATCACATGTTAGTATATGATATGTTAGTATGTTCAGCGTAGTGTAGATCACATGTTAGTATATGATATGTTAGTATGTTCAGCGTAGTGTAGACCACATGTTAGTATATGATATGTTAGTATGTTCAGCGTAGTGTAGACCACATGTTAGTATATGATATGTTAGTATGTTCAGCGTAGTGTAGACCACATGTTAGTATATGATATGTTAGTATGTTCAGCGTAGTGTAGACCACATGTTAGTATATGATATGTTAGTATGTTCAGCGTAGTGTAGACCACATGTTAGTATATGATATGTTAGTATGTTCAGCGTAGTGTAGACCACATGTTAGTATATGATATGTTAGTATGTTCAGCGTAGTGTAGATCACATGTTAGTATATGATATGTTAGTATGTTCAGCGTAGTGTAGATCACATGTTAGTATATGATATGTTAGTATGTTCAGCGTAGTGTAGATCACATGTTAGTATATGATATGTTAGTATGTTCAGCGTAGTGTAGACCACATGTTAGTATATGATATGTTAGTATGTTCAGCGTAGTGTAGATCACATGTTAGTATATGATATGTTAGTATGTTCAGCGTAGTGTAGACCACATGTTAGTATATGATATGTTAGTATGTTCAGCGTAGTGTAGCCACATGTTAGTATATGATATGTTAGTATGTTCAGCGTAGTGTAGATCATATGTTAGTAATGTGTATGATATGTAAGTATAGTGCATACATGTATATGAAGCACTGTGTATGGGATATATACATATTATACAGTGTAAACAATCATAATAAATAATTACATAGATACATTAGAACAATGTGACAAAAATAATAAAGAGAAAATATATTAAGAATACAAACGATCGGGTCCATCGATATCACTTGATGGACTCCCCTAAAAAGAATGTAATTTACATTTTCCGAAAGGTTTACATTTTCCGAAAAATGCAAAATTGTGTCAGTTTGACAACTCAACCCACAGAAAATACTATAACGCCTGTTCATAAAAGTTCTTTCCTCCTTACATGATCTTGTCTCTTTGTTTGGGGGCTTATATGTGTGTGGTATGTATCTGTCAACTAGTATTATATTGAGCTGACTTCAATAATTTGCTTGAATAATTTTGTCAACTGTTAACCTTGTTTTAATGACGAATACTTGTTTTGCGTGCAGGTCTTGCCTCCATAACAACTGGATACCCACACACTGTTACACGTGTTGGCGACGATGTTAACATAACCATGAACCCAGCGAATGTCAGCTTCCTATACTACGTATGGGTGAATGGTTCGGTAGCTGTGAAACTGTTACTGGTCCAGCCTAAGTCACAGCCTAAGTCACACAAAGTAAAGGTACTCAACAGCAGTCACACCGGCTACACGACCAGGATTAGATACACCGGGGAGGACTCACTATCACAGACTGGACAGCTGAGGTTTACAATCTATAATGTAACTGTACAGGACGCTGGTACTTACTACTGTCAACGAACCAATGGACAGACAGTTAGTGGATGTAGACAGGTCCTCGTTGTAGCACGTGAGTAGGATATGGGATGAACAGAATATTATTTGAAGAATAAAGTTGGACTGTCTTAATGTGTCTCCCAACATTAATAAATAGCTGTTCAATCTTCTATTGCAGTAGAAGAACTTTAGGTGAGGTGAAATTGGGGTTTAGATTATTGTATATATGGATCCAGGTATGTGTGAGTGTCCGAGCATGCGTCTGTGTTTGTGTGTTCATGTGTGTATGTGTGTCTCTGTATGTGTGTGTGTTGTATGCATGAGTGTGTGTTGTATGCATGTGTGCGTCGTATGCATGTGTGTGTTGTATGCATGCGTGTGTTGTATGCATGCGTGTGTATGTATGTGTGTGTGTTGTATGCGTGTGTGTTCTACGCATGTGTGTGTTGTATGCATGTGTGTGCGTTGTAAGCATGTGTGCACGTATATGTGTGTTGTATGCATGTGTGTGTGTTGTATGTATATGTGTGTGTTGTATGCATGTGTGTGTTGTATGCATGTGTGTATGCATGTGTGTTTGTATGTGTGTGTGTTGTCTGTGTGTTTGTTGTGTGCATGTATGTGTGTAGTATGCATGTGTGTATGTGAACTATGCTTCTTCACCGTCAAAGAAGCAGTGTCGCAGTTTAAGATGGATGAGTGTATCGGAGTCGATCAGTCTTGCATCTTTTAACGCCACTTGCTATAACGCACCTGGTAGTGAAACCGTCGACCCTCCTCTCTCCGGAAAGTACATTTAACTCGTTTCAGTAGAGGCAGCCAGTAGTTGTGTGGTAACTATCATATTTAATCAACAAAACGGTTAGGAGTATTAGGATCCAGCCAACATGGATTTCCTGCTGTAACTGTGGAACACTGACTGTGGAACACTGAGTGAGTGAGTGAATGAGTGATTTTTTTAACAATATTCCAGCAATATCATGACAAGTGACATCAGAAATGGGCTTCACTCATTGTTTCCATGTGGGGAATCGAACCTGGGTCTTCCACGTGACGAGTGAAGGCACTAGCTATTTAACATTTGATAGATAATAATGATAAACAGTATATAAATACAAGTATGTAAGCATTTAGTAACATCTTGTTCAATGGCACTCGTGTTAAGGTCTCAGCACATTTGTTATATTTGTTCACAGAGAAGCCTACCACACCCACCATCACCGGACCTGCCTCACCTGTATCAGTTGAGAATGTCACCCTGACATGCTCCTCCGTCCCCCTGAGTCTACCCCCGGACCATCCCCCACTGACCATGACCTACATCTGGAGGAGGGACAGGACCCTGGTAGAATCTCGTGATGAGTCTCCTACAGGTGGAGATGACCTGACAATAACCCACGTCAGCAGAGAGAACCATGGAGAAATCTACAGCTGCCAGGCCGTGGAGGAGGGCCTGAAGTCTAACTGGAGTCACGGACATGTACTGGATGTTCTCTGTGAGTAAGAACTTACCTTGTTTACGGTATAGGAACCTCGTGTATCTTATCTTTGAAACTGTGCTTCTGAGTGATAATTTTGTCACAACGTTCTACTGTGAACTACTGTGAACTACTGTGTTCTGTGTGAACAAATCAGAAATGATGATTGTAAAGGTTTGGATAGGAAATATAGGCAGGTCTGATTTAATGATCCATGAGTTTCAGAGGCTATCGAAAATGCTGATAGTTTCCCGGCACTGTAAGCTCATCTGGATATGTTGTCAAGAGTTGTACATATTATATCTGGGGTTAGGCGTCTGACTTTGTGTGCAAGCTATTAGGTACCTGACTCTGAGGATGTGGGTTCGAATCCCGGATTGGACTCAACCCAAAAGTACTAGAATTTGTACTTTACTAAGAAAGTGTAATCCCAAATATAACATGTTACATGGCCACTTTCTAAATTGTATTGTGTAGTCATAAGAGTTGTACATGTAAACAGAGTGCGTGAGTGAGTTACAACGGTTTTCCAGTTGTAGTCTGTACTTATTATGTGAGGAAAGCATAAATTGATATTGGTCTGAGACGTTTACCATTTTGTGAATCCCAAGAACACAGGCCAAGCCAAGCAGCATGTCTTCATTCACCGAAGCAAACTGCACTAATATCTCAGAAATAGCTTCTTAGCTGACCATCTCACATGTATTCCAGATGGACCTGACCAGATACAGTTTGACGGCACAAGTGAAAAGCTGGAGGTAGAAGAAGGGAAACCTGCAGCTGTGAGATGTTCTGCTGACTGTAACCCTGCCTGTACTGTAACCTGGTGGGACATCTCTAGACAGACGGTGATTACAGGACAGGGGGAGGCTGTGTTGTCTATACAAGCTGTAGATGTACCTGTGTCTGGACTGTACACGTGTCACGTCTACAACAGCCATGGGAGTGCATCACGGAACCTGACGCTGGAGGTCTTCTGTAAGTCAACACTTCAGTAACAGAATCTGTTATATACAACCTATTTTGGGGGATGACGCCTGTTGGGACGGCCCCTTTTCGTACACCTGATCGTGGTGGGTGGAACACCTTCTGGAACACCTGTTGGAACAGCTGCTAGAACACCAAAAGTAATGGCACCCAAAGATTCAAAATAACCAAATACCTTTTATATGTCGCTCAAAGATTAAAAATAATTAACCATTTGAAACGGTAATATTAATAAAGAATTCAATTTTCACTATAAACTGATGGCAGTATCACCCCTATGATTCTTAACTTTCAGATTCTCCTAAAATCACAAATGTTTCCGTTAATTTGAAAAATCAATTAGAAACCTGCCATACAGAATACAGTGCACCTGAATCTCTATTTATATGAGAAATAAAATTTGACACTTTTCGTTACATATTTCCGTTTCTTCATCCTGTACAAATGAGAACGCTGATGTTACCGACGTTGCATGTCCTCCTGTGGAGCTGACGTGGACAATGACGTTGTTGTTGCGGATGTACAGCGTACTTCATCAATCACTTACAAAACGTAGCTTGGAAAGGTTGTTCAGATGAACATCGCAAGTGTCAACCAACTTTATATGTGATTAATCAGGTAAAAATCTCTCGAAGAGGCTTGATGTTACTGGAGTATTGCTAAAAGTTGTATAAAACTCACTCACTCACTCAATCAAACCACTTAACCACTCAACCACTTACTCACTCACTCACACTACTGAGAGACATGCAATAAAAGGATAACACCCGGCCAAATTCGCAGATACGGGGTAGCCCTATTTATAATCCATTTATAAACTATATCTCTGGTATTATGTTATCATGTCATGTACCCTAAACACAGCAACACACGCCGAAGACCCGGGTTCGAACCCCCACATGGGTACAATGTGTGAAGCCCATTTCTGGTGTCCCTCGCCTTGATGTTGCTGGAATGTTGCTAAAACGGCGTACAACCTAACTCAGTCAGTCAGTCACAGCAACACATTTTGGAGGTGCCTTTTGAAACAGCAAACATGATTATACTCGTACGCATACTGAACTGAATATTGTCCATGTTAAATGTTTCAGCACGTGAAGATACTGAATCTGGTATCGTTTCCATCGTCCCCGTGGCTGCTGTCTGCTCCGTCCTGATCGTGGTCATCGCCGTTGTCGTCATCGTTGTTGTTTGTAGAAAACAGAGACGTGGAGGTAATACGGTGTGATGTGAGAGTGAATGACGATAACCCGAGAGTCACGTAAAGTTGTCTCTCTCAGAAGCACTCCTTTCGCACTTTCGTTCAGCAATTACAAATACTGATCTCACTTAATAGCGTGTTGCGGTTCATATATTAACTACATGCTCATGTTTACATCACGCAATTGATGTGTGTGTTCAGTGTATCGTCACCCGGAAATAGTTGGCTCCAAGGCCAATGCTTTCAAATGAACAGTCATAAGGGCCTGACATCAGGAAGATCCTTCTTCTTTTATGTGAGTGAGTGTGGTTTTACGCCTCTTTTAGCAAGATTCCAGGAATATCACGGCGGGGGACACCAGAAATTGGCTTCATTCATTGTACCCAAGTGCGGCAACAAACTATCATTAAATTGTGACACAGTTCACTATTTGTTACGAGGGAGGAGTGCAGAGAGAGGAACAGCCAGGTGTACGTGGAGCACGTGCACAAGTGCCGACAAAGTTATTGAATCATTTACCTAAGCTGTGCGGTATCATTCCTTTCTCGCACACCTGGCTGTCCCATTCTCTGCACTCCTCCCTCGTACCAAATAGTGAACTGTGTAAATATTTTAATGATAGTTTGTTAAATTTTTTCATTTTCAGGACATACATTCTGCAAAAAACCCACAGAGTTGGTCTGATGTTTTTATTATGATCAGTGTTTCATTGAGTATTAAGTGTTTCAATTTTCGAGTTAGATCGCAATGCATCAGTCCGCTTTTGAGCCAAACGAACTATAACCGTTGCTGCAGACGAGTTATTGTCGAAGGGTGCACCTGAAAATGTCGGGCTACACGAACCTGTGGAACTCCAGCATTCAGCATGCCTATTACTTGGTGTCTCTCCATTTCACTCATAAACCTCTGATGACGTCATCTCTTTGTTTAGCACCGCACATTAACCTGCCTGGACGACACAAAGATAGGTCTAACTGTGATTTAAATACCTCAAATGAGGTATATCTCGTCTGCAGTGACAGATAGACTTAATTTGGTGACGCCCAAACTAGACTCAGTCAGTAGCCGTGCTTTCAGTAGAGAAGACATGTAGAAAAGATAAATTAAGCAAATTGATCAATTTTTGAAACTTTAATGGACAATTTGACACACTGACCTAAGCACGACTGCTTTTCAAACACAATAAACAACGTTACGACACTGCCTGCATTTATAGCCCTACGTCCACATTTTGAAAATGTGTCATGCAGATCATCCTTGCTTCTTTCTCCCTGACAAAAAGATGAATGATGCATTTATGCGAATAGTTTCAATAATTTTCTTGAAAAATGGATTCGAACACCATCCTGCATGGTGAATGCTTTATCATCACCACATCATACTTGTGTTAAAGTATCAAATCCAAACACATGCTGAAAAAGGACAATTTTCATGAATTCTGAGTTGCGTTTTTATTGCTGGTCAGTATATAGACACCTATACAAACGTTAAGCAATACTAATATGTTTTTAGATGTAATGTCTTTACTATAACTGTAAAACATAAAAAATACTTCCGTATGTAGCATCTGATGTCCATCTCCACCCAGTAACTCAGTAAAAAGTTATCTGGCAAGCATTTCACTTTATATTGACATGTTATACATTTTCAAATGATCATTTTGTCCTATTTATACTAGTAGATATTCCCTCTGTCATATTTTTCACGTTCATGTGGTGGATTTTGTTTAAATGTGAAGATGTCCTTGATGGTGTCTATTAATATTCATTCAGGAAGTAAATGTGGGGAAATTGAATCTGAGACCAGCCTTTAAGGAAGAGTTTATAGTGAGTGAATATGAGCAATATCACGACGGGGGACACCCGAAATGGGCTTCAGACATTGCACCCATGTGGGGAATCGAACCCGGGTGTTCGGTGTGAAGAGTTTATACCCTTAAGAGACAGTATTATTGAGATCATATGCAAAACCTTTCACACCCATAAATAGAGTGAAAATTGAATATCTATGTCATAAGCTTACATGAGAAGTTAGATGTAAATTACTTAAAACTGTGGTGGTATCTACTTGACATGTCCTTATCTGTGTGTGGTTCAGTCCAACATAGACTCATTTCACTTCTCTTATATAACCGTCAAGATGCATTTGAACAGCTTGAGAAATATGAATCATTTATTTTATATAACCCTAAAGATGCTGGAACAGCCTGAGAAATATGAATAATCTCTCTTTTATAACCATCAAGACGCTTGAACGGCATTTGAGATATGAATCAATAGTGTGCACACATTTACATATTTGATGGCCTTTAGCTTTCAGTGAGTGAGGATGTTTACGCCGCTTTTAGCAATATCCCAGCGGGAGACACTTTAACCACTAGTCTTACAATCCCAACAAGGACTTCAGGACACCAGTGTTACTTAGCTGACAGTCACATATCGTTCTGCAAATTTCCAGTTATTTATGTCTACTTCAAAGGTATGCAAGTATACGAGCAATTCGTTTATCATATATTTTTCATCTAACATTTTGCATCTACACAATTATATCTTTCAGGAAGGGGAGACATTCATAGTCGGTGAGTATCTGCTATCCAGTGGGTAAGACAAATAGGTAAATTTAAACTTAGTAGTATCTGCTCTTTTCAAGGTTATTGTGTAAACAGTTGGCATTATCTGCTATCCTTCAAGGTTATTGGGTAAACAGTTGGCAGTATCTGCTATCCTTCAAGGCTATTGGGTAAACAGTTGACAGTATCTGCTATCCTTCAAGGCTATTGGGTAAACAGTTGGCAGTATCTGCTATCCAGATAGTAAGGCAAATGGGTAAACAGTTGGCAGTATCTGCTATCCAGATGGTAAGGCAAATGGGTAAACAGTTGGCAGTATCTGCAATCTTTCAATGCTATTGTGTAAACAGTTGGCAGTATCAGCTATCCTTCAAGGCAATTGGGTAAACAGCTGGCAGTATCTGCAATCCTCCACGGCTACTGGGTAAACTGTTGGCAGTATCTGCTATCCTTCAAGGCTATTGGGTAAACAGTTGGCAGTATCTGCTATCCAGATGGTAAGGCAAATGGGTAAACAGTTGGCAGTATCTGCAATCTTTCAATGCTATTGTGTAAACAGTTTGCAGTATCAGCTATCCTTCAAGGCAATTGGGTAAACAGCTGGCAGTATCTGCAATCCTCCACGGCTACTGGGTAAACTGTTGGCAGTATCTGCTATCCTTCAAGGCTATTGGGTAAACACCTAGCAGTACCTGCTATCCAGATGGTAAGGCAAATGGGTAAACAGTTGGCAGTATCTGCAATCCTTCACGGCTACTGGGTAAACAGTTGACAGTATCTGCTATCCAGATGGTAAGGCTATTGGGTAAACAGTTGGCAGTGTCGGCTATCCTTCATGTCTATTGCGTAAACAGTTGGCAGTATCTGCAATCCTTCACGGCTACTGGGTAAGCAGTTGGCAGTATCTGCTATCCAGATGTTTAGGCTATTGGGTATCTGAAATCCTTCACGGCTACTGGGTAAACAGTTGACAGTATCTACTATCCAGACGGTATGGCTTTTCGGTAAACAGTTTGAAGTATCTGCTATCCTTTAAGTCTGTTGGGTAAACACCTGGCAGTATTTGCTATCCAGATGGTAAGGCTATTTGGTAAACAGTTGACAGTGTCTGCTATCCTTCATGTCTATTACGTAAACAGCTGGCAGTATCTGCAATCCTCCACGGCTACTGGGTAAACAGTTGGCAGTATCTGCTATCTTTCAAGGCTGTTGGGTAAACACCTAGCAGTATCTGCTATCCAGATGGTAAGGCAAATGGGTAAACAGTTGGCAGTATCTGAAATCCTTCACGGCTACTGGGTAAACAGTTGCCAGTATCTGCTATCCAGATGGTATGGCTTTTCGATAAAGAGTTTGAAGTATCTGCTATCCTTCAAGGCTGTTGGGTAAACACCTGGCAGTATCTGCTACCCAGATGGTAAGGCTATTGGGTAAGCAGTTGGCAGTATCTGCAATCCTTCAAGTCTGTTTGGTAAACACCCAGCAGTATCTGGTATCCAGATGGTAAGGCTATTGGGTAAACAGTTGGCAGTGTCTGCTATCCTTCATGTCTATTGCGTAAACTGTTGGCAGTATCTGCAATCCTTCACGGCTACTGGGTAAACAGTTGCCAGTATCTGCTATCCAGATGTTTAGGCTATTGGGTAAACAGTTGGCAGTATCTGTTATTCTTCATGGCTATTGCGTAAACAATTTGCAGTATCTGCTATCCTTCAAGGCAATTGGGTAAACAGCTGGCAGTATCTGCAATCCTCCACGGCTACTGGGTAAACAGTTGGCAGTATCTGATATCCTTCAAGGCTGTTGGGTAAACACCTAGCAGTATCTGCTATCCAGATGGTAAGGCAAATGGGTAAACAGTTGGCAGTATCTGAAATCCTTCACGGCTACTGGGTAAACAGTTGCCAGTATCTGCTATCCAGATGGTAAGGCTTTTGGGTAAAGAGTTTGAAGTATCTGCTATCCTTCAAGGCTGTTGGGTAAACACATGGCAGTATCTGCTATCCAGATGGTAAGGCTATTGGGTAAGCAGTTGGCAGTATCTGCAATCCTTCAAGTCTGTAGGGTAAACACCCAGCAGTATCTGGTATCCAGATGGAAAGGCTATTGGGTAAACAGTTGGCAGTGTCTGCTATCCTTCATGTCTATTGCGTAAACAGTTGGCAGTATCTGCAATCCTTCACGGCTACTGGGTAAACAGTTGCCAGTATCTGCTATCCAGACGTTTAGGCTATTGGGTAAACAGTTGGCAGTATCTGTTATTCTTCATGGCTATTGCATAAACAATTTGCAGTATCTGCAAACCTTCAAAGCTATTGAGTACACAATTAGCAGTATCTGCTGTCCTTCATGGCTATTGGGTAAGCAGTTGGCAGTATCTGCAATCCTTCAAGACTGTTTGGTAAACACATAGCAGTATCTGCTATCCAGATGATAAGACTATTTGGTAAGCAGTTGGCAGTATCTTCTATCCTTCAAGACTGTTGGGTAAACAGTTGGCAGTATCTGCAATCCTTCAAGGCTATTGAGTAAACAGTTGGCAGTATCTGCAATCCTTCAGGGCTACTGGGTAAACAGTTGGCAGTACCTGCCATCCTTCAATGTTACTGGGTAAACAGTTGGCTGTAACTTCTAACCTTTAAGGGTATTTGGTAAAGAGTTGGCAGTATCTGCATTCCTTCAAGACTGTTGGGTAAACAGTTGACAGTATCTGCAATCCAGATAGTAAGGCAAATGGGTAAACAGTTGACAGTACCTGCTATCCAGATGGTAAGGCAAATGGGAAAACAGTTGGCCGTATCTGATATCCAGATAGTAAGGCAAATGGGTAAGCAGTTGGCAGTACCTGCTATCCAGATAGTAAGGCAAATGGGTGAACAGATGGCAGTATGTGCTATCCTTCAATGCCATAGTGTAAACAGTTGGCAGTATCTGCTATCCTTTAAGACTGTTGGGTAAACAGTTGACAGTATCTGCAATCCTTCACGGCTACTGGGTAAACAGTTGGCAGTATCTGCTGTGCAGATGGTAAGGCTTTTGGGTAAACAGTTTGAAGTATCTGCTATCCTTCAAGACTGTTGGGTAAACAGTTGACAGTATCTACTATCCAGGTGGTATGGCTTTTCGGTAAACAGTTTGAAGTATCTGCTATCCTTTAAGTCTGTTGGGTAAACACCTGGCAGTATTTGCTATCCAGATGGTAAGGCTATTGGGTAATCAGTTGGCAGTATCTGCAATCCTTCAAGACTGTTTGGTAAACACATGGCAATATCTGCTATCCAGATGATAAGGCTATTGGGTAAGCAGTTGGCAGTATCTTCTATCCTTCAAGACTGTTGGGTAAACAGTTGGCAGTATCTGCAATCCTTCAAGGCTATTGAGTAAACAGTTGGCAGTATCTGCAATCCTTCAGGGCTACTGGGTAAACAGTTGGCAGTACCTGCCATCCTTCAATGCTACTGGGTAAACAGTTGGCAGTAACTTCTAACCTTTAAGGGTATTTGGTAAAGAGTTGGCAGTATCTGCATTCCTTCAAGACTGTTGGGTAAACAGTTGGCAGTATCTGCAATCCAGATAGTAAGGCAAATGGGTAAACAGTTGACAGTACCTGCTATCCATATGGTAAGGCAAATGGGAAAACAGTTGGCCGTATCTGAGATCCAGATAGTAAGGCAAATGGGTAAGCAGTTGGCAGTACCTGCTATCCAGATAGTAAGGCAAATGGGTGAACAGATGGCAGTATCTGCAATCCTTCAAGGCTATTGAGTAAACAGTTGGCAGTATCTGCTATCCTTTAAGACTGTTGGGTAAACAGTTGACAGTATCTGCAATCCTTCACGGCTACTGGGTAAACAGTTGGCAGTATCTGCTGTGCAGATGGTAAGGCTTTTGGGTAAACAGTTTGAAGTATCTGCTATCCTTCAAGACTGTTGGGTAAACAGTTGACAGTATCTACTATCCAGGTGGTATGGCTTTTCGGTAAACAGTTAGAAGTATCTGCTATCCTTCTTTAAGTCTGTTGGGTAAACACCTGGCAGTATTTGCTATCCAGATGGTAAGGCTATTGGGTAAGCAGTTGGCAGTATCTGCAATCCTTCAAGACTGTTTGGTAAACACATGGCAAGTATCTGCTATCCAGATGATAAGGCTATTGGGTAAACAGTTGGCAGTATCTTCTATCCTTCAAGACTGTTGGGTAAACAGTTGGCAGTATCTGCAATCCTTCAAGGCTATTGAGTAAACAGTTGGCAGTATCTGCAATCCTTCAGGGCTACTGGGTAAACAGTTGGCAGTACCTACCATCATTCAATGTTACTGGGTAAACAGTTGGCAGTAACTTCTAACCTTTAAGGGTATTTGGTAAAGAGTTGGCAGTATCTGCTATCCTTCAAGACTGTTGGGTAAACAGTTGACAGTATCTGCAATCCAGATAGTAAGGCAAATGGGTAAACAGTTGACAGTACCTGCTATCCAGATGGTAAGGCAAATGGGAAAACAGTTGGCCGTATCTGAGATCCAGATAGTAAGGCAAATGGGTAAGCAGTTGGCAGTATCTGCTATCCAGATAGTAAGGCAAATGGGTGAACAGATGGCAGTATCTGCTATCCTTCAATGCCATAGTGTAAACAGTTGGCAGTATCTGCTATCCTTTAAGACTGCTGGGTAAACAGTTGACAGTATCTGCAATCCTTCACGGCTACTGGGTAAACAGTTGGCAGTATCTGCTATGCAGATTCAAGGCTTTGGGTAAACAGTTTGCAGTATCTGCTATCCTTCAAGACTGTTGGGTAAACAGTTGACAGTATCTACTATCCAGGTGGTATGGCTTTTCGGTAAACAGTTGGCAGTATCTGCTATCCTTTAAGTCTGTTGGGTAAACACCTGGCAGTATTTGCTATCCAGATGGTAAGGCTATTGGGTAAGCAGTTGGCAGTATCTGCAATCCTTCAAGACTGTTTGGTAAACACATGGCAATATCTGCTATCCAGATGATAAGGCTATTGGGTAAGCAGTTGGCAGTATCTTCTATCCTTCAAGACTGTTGGGTAAACAGTTGGCAGTATCTGCAATCCTTCAAGGCTATTGAGTAAACAGTTGGCAGTATCTGCAATCCTTCAAGGCTACTGGGTAAACAGTTGGCAGTACCTGCCATCCTTCAATGCTACTGGGTAAACAGTTGGCAGTAACTTCTAACCTTTAAGGGTATTTGGTAAAGAGTTGGCAGTATCTGCATTCCTTCAAGGCAATTGGGTAAACAGTTGGCAGTATTTGCAATCCTTCAAGGCTGTTGCGTAAACAGTTGGCAGTATCGGCTATCCAGATGGTAAGGCAAATGGGTAAACAGTTGGCAGTATCTGCTATCCAGATGGTAAGGCTTTTGGGTAAAGAGTTTGAAGTATCTGCTATCCTTCAAGGCTATTGGGTAAGCAGTTGGCAGTATTTGCAATCCTTCAAGTCTGTAGGGTAAACACCCAGCAGTATCTGGTATCCAGATGGTAAGGCTATTGGGTAAACAGTTGGCAGTGTCTGCTATCCTTCATGTCTATTGCGTAAACAGTTGGCAGTATCTGCAATCCTTCACGGCTACTGGGTAAACAGTTGCCAGTATCTGCTATCCAGACGTTTAGGCTATTGGGTAAACAGTTGGCAGTATCTGTTATTCTTCAGGGCTATTGCGTAAACCATTTGCAGTATCTGAAAACCTTCAAAGTTATTGAGTAAACAGTTGGCAGTATCTGATGTCCTTAATGGCTATTGGGTAAACAGTTGGCAGTATCTGAAATCCTTCACGGCTACTGGCTAAACAGTTGACAGTATCTACTATCCATATGGTAAGGCTTTTCGGTAAACAGTTTGAAGTATCTGCTATCCTTTAAGTCTGTTGGGTAAACACCTGGCAGTATTTGCTATCCAGATGGTAAGGCTATTGGGTAAGCAGTTGGCAGTATCTGCAATCCTTCAAGACTGTTTGGTAAACACATGGCAGTATCTGCTATCCAGATGATAAGGCTATTGGGTAAGCAGTTGGCAGTATCTGCTATCCTTCAAGACTGTTGGGTAAACAGTTGGCAGTATCTGCAATCCTTCAAGGCTATTGAGTAAACAGTTGGCAGTATCTGCAATCCTTCAGGGCTACTGGGTAAACAGTTGGCAGTACCTGCCATCCTTCAATGTTACTGGGTAAACAGTTGGCAGTATCTGCTATCCTTTAAGGCTATTTGGTAAACAGTTGGCAGTATCTGCTATCCTTCAAGGCTATTGGGTAAACAGTTGGCAGTATCTGCTATCCAGATGGTAAGGCAAATGGGTAAACAGTTGGCAGTATCTGCTATCCAGATGGTAAGGCAAATGGGTAAACAGTTGGCAGTATCTGCTATCCTTCAAGGCTATTGGGTAAACAGTTGGCAGTATCTGCTATCCTTCAAGGCTATTGGGTAAACAGTTGGCAGTATCTGCAATCCTTCAAGGCTATTGGGTAAACAGTTGGCAGTATCTGCTATCCTTCAAGGCTGTTGGGTAAACAGTTGGCAGTATCTGCTATCCAGATATTGGGTAGGGCAGTGGGTAAACAGTTAAACAGTATCTGAAATCCTTCAAGGCTATTGGGTAAACAGTTGGCAGTATCTGCTATCCAGATGGTAAGGCTATTGGGTAAACAGTTGGCAGTATCTGCTATCCTTCAAGGCTATTGGGTAAACAGTTGGCAGTATCTGCTATCCTTCAAGGCTATTGGGTAAACAGTTGGCAGTATCTGCAATCCTTCAAGGCTGTTGGGTAAACAGTTGGCAGTATCTGCTATCCTTCAAGGCTATTGGGTAAACAGTTGGCAGTATCTGCTATCCTTCATGGCTATTGGGTAAACAGTTGGCAGTATCTGCTATCCTTCAAGGCTATTGGGTAAACAAACAGTTGGCAGTATCTGCTATCCTTCAAGGCTATTGGGTAAACAGTTGGCAGTATCTGCTATCCTTCAAGGCTATTGGGTAAACAGTTGGCAGTATCTGCAATCCTTCAAGGCTATTGGGTAAACAGTTGGCAGTATCTGCTATCTGTCCAGATGGCTATCCTTCAAGGCTATTGGTAAACAGTTGGCAGTATCTGCTATCCTTCAAGGCTATTGGGTAAACAGTTGGCAGTATCTGCTATCCTTCAAGGCTATTGGGTAAACAGTTGGCAGTATCTGCTATCCTTCAAGGCTATTGGGTAAACAGTTCATCACCAACACAATTTGACTGGCTATATCACTAATCAATAGCTGTGTGATATCGAGCACAATCTAAATCAATGGCGCACAGTCAATGAGCTGCTGGATAGTTATTACTCTTCCAGGCAAATGTTTCAAGGGCGTGAACTACCTGTATTTTCGTGAACACCTGGTGTCTTCACTGATTTTCTCAGTGGTTCATTCATATCATTTTGACAGCTATTTTGTGATTTGCAACACTCTGAGGAAAGCGGACTGTTTTTATAAATATTCCTTGATTCCAACCACTTTCTACATTTCTTTTCCCCCAGCGTTGTCACATACATCCTTGACGCAGAAACAGACGGGGGCTACCAGGAGATAGAAGGTTGGTGTTGTACGTCATCGTAGACCCTTAAACGTCACATGAATTAGTTCAGATAAACAGGTCATAGCGAATTATTAAATGGGCAATGTTATGTACCATGTCTAAAAACAGTCTTGGAATTTTAGCTGTCAACATAGAAAACTAAAGGCCTATCATAACTATTAGCTCCGAGTGACCTTGGGCGTTGGGGTAGCCCAGTGGTTAAAGCGTTAAAGCCGAAGGCCCGGGTTCGATTCCTGACATGGGATCAATGTGTCAGGCCCATTTCTTGTGTCCCCTGCCGTGATATTGCTGTAACATTGCTAAAAGTCGCGTAAAACCCAACTCACTCACTCACTGACTGACCTTCTATTGAAACTTGTATCGGATGCTGTCCATATATCGCGTCTACGGTGCTAGATCAGTGCACTATATTCAAACATGTACGGATATGTGATCGGTGCACAATAATACAGGCATCTGTGATTAACCTTGCAGTTTGTATGCATAATTAACTGCTGAACATTGTCACTTTCAGAGAGAGGATACGTTCATCAGCGGTGAGTATCTTCATCAATCTTCAAGTAGGATGAATAAATATTTCATCTCACACAGTGATACATAGCTGAAGATCTGATATAGAATTGATCCTCAGCAACCCATGGTTGTCGTAAAAGTTGACAAACGGGATACGGTGGTCAGGCTCGCTGACTTGGTTGACTCATATCATCGTATCCCAATTGCGTAGATCGATGCTTATGCTGTTGAGCACTGGATTGTCTGGTCCAGACTCGATTATTTACAGACCGCCGCCATATAGCTGGAATATTGCTGAGTGCGGCGTCAAACAACAAACAAACCGACATAGCTATCAGAGCAAAACTATGCACGATTCGGAGCGATGTAAATTGAGAGTGTGTCACAGCTGTATAATTTCCTTTCATTTTACTCAAGTTTAATACTCATTTTATCAGCTTGGTTTCGTATCACAGGGAAGACGAAAACGACGGGAGCTACCAGGAAATAGAAGGTTGGTGTCTAAAGGTTAACTACAAGCATGATGTGTAACGGCTGTGAAACTCGAACTGTGAGTGTATGGTACTGATATGTCGATTGAATGTAGCTCGAACTATCTCCCGTCTGAAGCCCAGAAGCCTGGAATAGGAGTCGTGTCTAAAACCCATATACATTGGATATAAGTCAAATCGTCAAGGTTACGGTGTAATATTTCAAGGAAAGGGAAAAATACCGATTATATGATTTAAAATACCCATCATAGAATAGTTAATATACTGTAAATAAACATTTCCTAAGTCAAATTCGTTATATATTTATATATATAATACTTATGACACTTCTTAATTTCCATGTACATAACCAGGATTCGGTGATATGCCATGTTGGGGAAACAGATCCACTGGCCTGGACAGCTGTAACGGTCATACTTCCCGTCATACATCAAGAATGATTCTTCCATCTTCATTGCTTGCTTCCTTTGTTGCGTTATGCGATGTAGACAGGGTTCCAGTAGCGTATAAAGAATCGTAGTTTCTTTGAAAAAGTAGACACAAATAGTATTTCCTCCTAATGTCCTAAAACCAGTATCTATGCACTGAAAGGAATAAGGAATATTAACGACGAATCTTTTATGTTTCAAATACGATGTAGACAGGACTCTGTTAGCTAATGAAAAGGATCGATGTTTCATTCAAAAAGACACACAAAACCCAGAACTTCCTCTATTTCCTCCTTATGTTCTAAAACCAATATATGCATTAAAACGAACAAGGAATATTAACAGAACATTTCTTATCATTCAAATACGTCTCTGCGTTCTCATATGAATTACCATACTAATTACATATGTGTTAACTGTGTGTTATATCAGAAGGTGATGACAACGTCGACGACATCGTCCCCATCGTAGCTGTCTACTCCATTATGCTCACTGCTGTGGCAGTTGTGGTGGCAGCAGTTACTATTCTTGTCTGCAAGGACGTAAAAGGTACGATGAATACATGAATCTTTTTGAATGCAATGTAAGTTTCAATCCCTCCTCCACTCCCCAACACACCACAACCAACACGAACTTACACCAAAGTGAAGAACCAGGTCAGAGCTGGTCTTCTACAACCTATTTGCAAGCTCGTCATAACAGGTGAGAAACGCTGGCTGATTATGGCCATGCATGTATACCCCCGTATCCCAATTGCGTAAATCGATGCTCATGATATCAATCACTGGGTTTTCTTGTCAAGTCTTGATTATTTCAGACAATCGTAATATAGCTGGAATATTGCTGAATGCAGCGTTAAACAGCAAACAGGCATGTCTGTAGTTCACCTTCATATGCTGAAATCTTTTTTTTCCATTTTATTTTGTAAACGCTGTTTTGATTCAGTAATTTGGGCAGTCGGGAGCCAAGTGGTTAAGGCGTTCACGCCAAAGACCTAGGTTCGATTCCCCACATGGGTACAATGTGTGAAGCCCTATTTATGGTGTTCTGGTTTTGGTGATGTTGATGGACTGTGCTAACAGCGACTCAGTCACTAACTGTTATTCAGTAAATGGAAACGTGGACGAATCTTTCCGTTTAGAAATTTACAAGTTTGTCTTTTGCTTTATTTGCAGAAAACCAGGACAGAAGGTACATAAGTTTATTGTTTGACCTTAAGTGCTGGAGTTAGGTATGGTAATAACCAGTTAACAAACCCTCATATATGTGTCCAGTTGCAATCTCCTGTGTTAAACACCATTTACTCAACTTACCCCAGAAAACTAGACCCTAACTGAATAAACGAAGCCCGTATAGATTATCTGTGGAAATGACGGAGAAAGTAGCAATTGATCTATGTAACAAATGTACGATTTGTTAAGAAAGGATTGCAAATCTATGATCACTGTTGAGGGTCTTTTTAGGATTTCCAATCCATTTATGATTTCTGTTCCACGCTGCATGAAAGCAAAATACATACACTTCTGTGCAAGACAACTTTATGTGCAATGTAAGTGTAATGTTGTAATTACAGATGTGGTGAATATCTTACTGTGATGGCAGAGAGATTGTCCCGTGACTTCAGTGATGTACCTTGTGCTTCCAACAACGACGGGGATGTCTTACCCCTACATGATTACGAGCGACTCCTGAGGGAACAGTTCCACATCTACACGTCTCTCCACCCTTCAACTTCCTAACTGAGGACCACAGCACCAGGTGAAGCCTATACTGACGGTACAGTTCCTCATCTACACGTCTCTCCACCCTTCATCGTCCCCCATCGAGGACCACAGTACCAGGTGAAGCCTATACTGACGATACTGTTCCTCATCTACTCTTCCACCCCTCATCGTCCCCACGTCTCTCCACCCTCTACACCACCCTTCATCCACACAGAGGACCACAGTACCCTAATCTGACGGTACAGTTCCTCATCTGGGCGTCTCTCCACCCTCCATTCTCCTCTACAGAGGACCACGACACCAGTAAGGCATGAACTGATGGTACAGTTCCTCATCTATACGTTTCTTCACCCTTCATCGTCCCCAACAGAAGACCACGGGACCACAGTACGGAGTGCAGCCTCAAGTGTGGCAACAGTTTATGCAGACGACATTGTGTTTATATTTTTCTGTAGACGATGTTTTCTTTTTTGCTGTCGCCTGATATTTTCTTTTTCACTTTATGCAGACGATATTTTCTTTGTCACTTTATGCAGACGATATTTTCTTTGTCACTTTATGCAGACGATATTTTCGTTGTCGCTTTATTCAGACAATGTTTGCTTTGTCACTTTATGCAGACGATATTTTCTTTGTCGCGTTATGCAGATGATATTTTCTTTGTCACTTTATGCAGACGATGTTTTCTTTGTCACTTTATGCAGACGATATTTTCTTTGTCGCTTTGTGCTGACGACATCTTCTTTGTCACTTTATGCAGGCAGTAGTATCTTTGTCACTTTATGCAGACTATATTTTCTTTGTCACGTTATGCAGATGATATTTTCTTTGTCACTTTATGCTGACGATATTGTCTTTGTCACTTGATGCAAGTGATATTGTCTTTGCAGCTCCAGACGAACAATCCTTACATCCTTACAATGTATGCAGCTTTATTCAGACAATGTTTGCTTTGTCACTTTATGCAGACGATATTTTCTTTGTCGCGTTATGCAGATGATATTTTCTTTGTCGCTTTATTCAGACAATGTTTGCTTTGTCACTTTATGCAGATGATTTTTTCTTTGTCGCGTTATGCAGATGATATTTTCTTTGTCACTTTATGCTGACGATATTGTCTTTGTCACTTGATGCAAGTGATATTGTCTTTGCAGCTCCAGACGAACAATCCTTACATCCTTACAATGTATGCAGCTTTATTCAGACAATGTTTGCTTTGTCACTTTATGCAGACGATATTTTCTTTGTCACTTTATGCATACGATATTGTCTTTGTCACTTGATGCAAGTGATATTGTCTTTGCAGCTCCAGACGAACAATCCTTACATCCTTACAATGTATGTATGACTGTGTATCTAGCTGGTGTGACTGTGGCATATATTGATTACTGTTAAACAGACATTTGTAAAAGCATATTTTAATAAATATTCTAAGGTTTCTAAATATTATAATCTTATCGTAAAGCAAATAATTCTTATGTTAGTGTACAGTTAGTTTTGTAGGTGAGTCTAGGTATAGAAGAACGGATATTTTGTTATCGATGAGAAAGAGTGGCTTTACTTTGTATTATATGTTATCTGATGTTGTGTTGCGACATCTTAATAAACTTATTATTATGATTATGTTTTGTCTTCTTCTTGCATTGATCCTTCCGTAAACCTTACAAGGAACATATGATCGTGTGTTCAAACCCCAAAATGGTTGCATTCTCATTCAGTTGTTCGCCCCACAAGCGTTTGAGTGAGTGAGTTAAAAGTTTACATAAGATGGACAATAGTGCAGCCATTTCGCGATGAGAATAATTTAGGTATAAATTCTATTCAAGTCCCACTATTCATAAGTTTAATATGGTCATGTCAATTGTCAATCCATATATTGTAAAAAAACTATCTATTTATATACACAGTTCAATGAATCTTAGAGATTCAGTCCTATGCCAATAATATCATATTTACTTTTTCGGACACCTTCGCTTTTATTGGGAGCATGTTATATTTGGGCGAATGTTTTCTGCTTGGGTGTTTATGCAATTGCATTAAAAGTGGTAACTTTCTTTTGCCCGATAGTTTAGTCCTTGAACGGCATTTAGAAGACTGCATGACACGCTGACCATGCGACCTGTGACAAAGGTACTGGAATTGCTGAATTTCCTTCTTTTTCCAATAGTGCTAGTAGTTTGGCAAGATGCTGGGCTGTGTTGTAGCAGACTGAGCCCCTGGAGCATACACGTGTTCTGACTTTGACTGGATCTTTATGTGTGCCCCAGTGTGTACTTCAGTGTGCTATAATCATTGGCTTCGCCTTAGTATTTTGACCTTTGTCCAGTTTCGCGCAATTCTGCTATGGAAAGATTGAAGATAATAAAATGGATGTTACTAGCTCGATACAAAATACATCTGGGGTACTCGATTTGCTGATATTTTCACGGCTTAGTTACAGGCGAATCTATCTCAGCTATTGAACGTATATATACTCTCCCAAAAAAGAAACGCATCATGAAAACAGCAATTTCATGTAGCAATGAATTAAAACGTGATTCATTTTAGAAAAGATTTTGCTTTGTTTATGAGTCCTATGGTGTTTATGTTTTGAAACATCACAACAAAACGCACCATCCGTAAAATACCCGTATTTAACAGCATGGTTTTCAATTTCGGCGTGTAGTGTCACAGAATACACAATTCACATGCAATGCATGTGAAAGTTGGGGATCAGATAGTCTCAATGATGGGTATAAAAGGTTGATCGCTGTCTGTCGATTATTCACTGTATTTGGAATATTGTTGACGAACGCAAAATGCCACGTCTAAGTGAAGCCAACCGTCATATCGCCATTGGTTTGCTTGAAGCTGGCCAGTCTCAACGTGCAGTTGCCTGACGCATGAATGTTCACCAAAGCACCCTTTCACGGCTCTGGGAGAGATATGGCCGGCAGAATGCGGTAGGAGATGCCCCTCGTAGTGGGCGACCTCGAGCGACCATGGCGGCGCAGGATCGCTACATCCGGGTACATCACCTGCGTCATCGAACAGCTACGGCGACCAGTACCGCTCGACAAATATCTGGATTGAGTAGGCTTTCTGCACAGACCGTCAGGAACAGGTTGAGAGAGGCTGGTTTACGTGCCAGAAGACCTTATTTTGGTCCTGTGCTTCGACAACAACATCGTCGACATCGAGTTCAATGGTGCACCAACATTCAGGCCTGGAACCTACCGAATTGGCGTAGAATCTGTTCCATTGAAATCATAATGGAAAGATGTCTGTAATAAGAAGAGAGTAGATGATGAGAAAAGTCTAAGACATAAAACTTTAGGATGTCAGTTAATTTAAATACTTGAGATCTGTTGAAGGAACTAAAGAATTTCTTGAATTGTAAAACTAAACAATTATTTGATCTAACGACTGGCTTTAATATGTTGAAAATGCGGTAATAAGTATACTAATCTGAGAACGAAAATAACTAGAAACTTGAAGGAAAACAATGCCTGAAAATATGGTCACCATGACAACGCCACTAATATGAATATTGTCACCAAATTATTAGTTATTGTTTGTTGTGATTGTGTGAACCGACACTGGTGACCACATCAGTACCTGGTGTAGCCACCCCTCGCACGAAAAACAGCTGCCCATGACCCCCTAAAAGTTGTTCAATGGGGTTCATACCTGGCTGCTTAGCAGATCCCCCATGTGTGAAAAATCCAACACTATCCTTCGATGACAACTGAATTCAAATGACATAAACGTCACCTAGCGCATGTTCAGAACGATAATATAATGACGTAACACTGTGAAATAATTTCACTTGCGAAAGAATGATTTACAGTTGCAACGTCATGGTTTTTGAGAAGTTCTTTGATCTTATCTTGTTTACATCATGATTATTGCCTCGAAAATGCACAAATATGACTGAAACGTTTTTTGTGTGGAGGGTTGCACATAGTATGTGTAGTGAGTAGTAAGTCCAGTGACGTCACTCATTCATAACGTTGGGTTATGTATCAATGCGCCGATACAATGAGAAAGGACGAAATATGCATCGATTTGATCCCAAAGTGGTAAGATTTTAGGGTGTGTAAGAAACAGATTACTGTACTCGTTGTAAGATAAATGGAGTCTGACAAACACTCGTTTAGTTTCTTTTGACGCCCGGGTTAGAATTGATCTTCAGCAACCCATGCTTGTCGTAAGAGGCGACTAACGGGATCGCTTGACACATGTCATCGTATCCAAATTGCGAAGATCGATGCTGATGATGTTGATCACTGGATTGTCTGGTCATTTACAGACTGGAATAGCTGGAATATTGCAAAGGGCGACGTTAAAGAAAGAAAACTTGGTGTGATCTCAATAGTTACGTTTACATCTTGATGTGCAGTGCTAAAGAGTAAATACGGGTACATATGAGAGTGATTGAGTGAGTGAGTGAGTGAATGAATATCTTTTACGTCGCTTTTCGCCATATGTCAGCAATATCATGGCGGGGGATACCAGAAATGGTCTTCACACATTGTACCCATGGAGGGAATCGAACCCGGATCTTCGGCGTGACGAGCAGGACGCTTCGACTGCCCAAACCACTAGTGGCTACCACAGAGTAGACGGAACCAGCACGCACGACAACAAAGTGTTCAATATTCGACGGCCCAATCATAACGACACTAGTGTTTCAAAAAGCAGAGGCATGGTTCATGTGACAGGGAAATATTGTCCAAGTGAAACTACACGCACATCAACAGCTCAGATCTGTCAGTGTTAAGCAGCTGCTGGCTATGTTTCTGTTTTACACTGTGACCGGATTATTTCATGTGTTTGGTATGTATCTGCCTTCGAATTGACATTTTATATAGCCATCCTTGTGACTGTTTTCTTAATTAATACGGGATATTCTGTCAGTAAGAATAAGTAATGATGACTGGTATTTACGTGCAGGTCAGTATGAACTTATCACGCCAGTTTTTAATATGTTTTTTAAAAAAAGAAACTTATACAGTTATATAGCGCCTAGTATCAATCTGTCTAGTTGCTCGCTGGACGCTAAATCACAATCTGATTAGTATTACCCTGGATAACCCAAGCTGCCTGTAAGGCGCTAGAAGGTTAATAGTGAGATGACTTATCTCACCGGGTAACCAGTTTCTGCTGTACC